GTTACATACAGCACTGATGGTACCTGTCTGTCATGGGTTTGGAGGGAAAGTTCCATCCTATGGGGAGTGGAAGGCGGGACATCAGGGGGGAGGTGCTGTACTGTATATATATGTGGAGCTTGTGTGGAGAAGTTTAGAAGAAGCTGGAGTGGGAGTCTGTGTGTCAGACTGAGTACAACTGTGTGTCAGTTAGTACCTACCTGATAGGTTCAGGTTTCTATATAGGTAGCCAGAACTGATAGGTTCAGGGTCTGTGCTGTACTTTAAAGGGTTCTAGGGGAACCAAACTGTTGTATGTATATGATTGAGACTACGCCACGTCACAGTATCGTATTTACTTGATCTTTTTATTTACCCTGTTTGTTATTTAAATAAACCTTGTTCTTTTGTTTGTTAAAAATCCATTCCTGGTCTGTGTGACTCCTTATAGGGAATGGTTGGTGGCAGCTTAGTTATAGCGTGGCATACTCCGGTAGGTCTGGGGTTGTCACAAACACTTCCTTTCTCTCCGCTAGGAGAGTGGCTACATCCTGCTGTGGCACTTCAGGACCAGTGAAGGGGCCTCCCCTGAGAGGGCCACATGGGAACCTCCTCCCCTCACGGGTTCAGAACAGAGCTATACGAATGGTGCCATCTGATTTTCTTTGGCTTCTCTTGGTTCCCCCTTTTCCCCTTCCCCGCCTCCTCCTTTTGAAACTCTGCGCCCATTACTGTAACCTGGAGGGCATCATGGCACCCTCCAGGCCGCAGACTACAGCCCCCCTTCGCCCCATAGGGGGTGTGATGGGAGTTGTAATCCAGCACAACTTCTAGGATATTATGAATGTGTGCAAAGTGGCCTCGACTCAGTTGCTCCCCAGGAAGACATGGTGAAATCTTGGGAGTTCGATACAAGCAAGAGACTTCAGGTCCTTCTCCTTCATGAATCTGGAAACGCATAGCTAAAATAGTCCTGACCGGTGGCCACCTCACCTCCCTTGAAAAGCCTCCGGCGCTGGAGAGGCCACCACTTCCCCACTTGATCCATTTTCCTGCCAAAGAGCTCTCAGCTGTCACAAAGCTCTGCCTAATATTTGGTCACAAGCTCCTTTCAGCTGTTTGGCCTCCAACCATTTGGACCCAACTTCCTTACGACGGCCCTTCAAATATTTGGGGGACAACCATCCTCCGGCCTCTTGGCCATCTCCATCCGGGACAGGGCTTGGTTTCCAGGCCTTTGATCATTCCCGGCCACATTTCTCTGGACGTGTCCCATTTTCTCAACCCCCTCCTTAAACCCAGGCTCCTTAAACTGGACCCAAAATTCCAGGGGAGGTATGACCAAAGCAGAACGTGGCACCACGACTGCCCTGGATCAGGGCACACTTATTCCTGTCTTTGCCATTTTTTGCTGCTGCCTCCCAATATTGACCCACGTCGAACCTTTGGTCCACAGAGTCCTAGCTTCTTTCTCAAACATAACCAGCCCAGCTGGCTCTCACCCATCTTGTATGTGTGTGTTGCTTTTTTCTTGACCAAAACAGAGGAGTAGCTTGCCCACTACCATGTTTCCCTGAAAATAAGACAGGGTCTTATATTAATTTTTGCTCCAAAAAATGCATTAGGGCTCATTTTCAGGGGCTGTTTTATTTTTTTCATGTACAACAATCTACTTTTATTCAAATACAGTCATATCCTCTTCTTCTGGTTGCTGCACAAGGGTGGAGGGCGGGCTTTCACTTCACTAGGACTTATTTTGGGAGTAGGGCTTATATGACGAGCATCCTGAAAAATCATACTACGGCGTATTTTCAGGTTAGGGCTTATTTTCGGGGAAACAGGGTAGTTGGGTGGGATATAAATGTAAGTGAGTAAACCTACCAACTTCGTGTTCCTCCTTAGAAGTCTACCCTACGTCTCCCTTTTTTTTGGCCATGATGGGGTAGTTTATGGCAATGAATTCTCTCCCTCCCCTCCCCCAAAGATAAGAGATAAATCAACGAGGCCAGCCTCCCTTGTCACAACCATGCTAATTCCTTTATTGTCTCATGGTTGGGATTTGGTGGCGCCACTGTCACAGGGACGTTTGCAAGGCCCGCACCAAATCAAAGCAACATTACAGAATATTGAAGAGTAACCCATCCAAAACCAGAGGGGCTGCGGGACAGTACATTTTGTAGGATATAGGTATGCATAATATGTCCTGTATATTCATATGTAGGGAGCAACAAGCATGGGCCACCGAACACCAACTTTTGACTGCCTAAGTAAATCACAACAGCGACAGGCAACAAAAAATTTGGTCCCAGGCGGGGCCCTCACCTGGCAATCCAGCACCCCCTCCCATCGTTCCACCCCCTCTGGAATTTTCCCCCCTTCTCCAGTCACCCACATAGACAGCAATCCCACAGTTTTCCCCTGGCTTGGATACCCACACACCCCCATACATAGGACACACGCACCCACCCACCCCCAAGACATTCATACGTAAATACAGACTCGCCAAAATACAAAGAACAAGAAACATCAGAAATCTACATCCCAGGTTGTTACAGGTGACCAGCCGGGGCCCTGGAAGCGATGACGACGACGATGACTCCACTTGGCCCATTGCACAGAAGCAGGAAGACCGCCACCGCTAACAGTGACAGGTTTGTGGCCCAAGTAACAGTAGTTCTTCGCTCGTCATGTTTTTTTTTAGGGGTGTGTGTGTTTTGTGCTAAGAGGTTGTCTGAGCTCACGGGCAGCACAGCCGCGGATGGAGCAAAAGCGCAGGAGGGGGCTTCAGCTCAGCATCATGTGGCAGGACGAGAAGGGGCACTTAGGTGTCAGAAGTAGCGTGGTCCTCCCGCGCCTGTTGTGCGCCGTGGCTGGAGAGGGGCAGGCTGTCTCTCTCTCTCTCTCCAGCGGGACCCCCAAACCCCTAAAGGCAGCATCAGGTGGCAGGAAAGACATACTCTGTCCTCTTCAGTACGCATGCATGCCGCTGGTCCCAACCCCACTGGCATTGGGAAGAGAGGTCCCTCTTCTGGCCTCTTGTCCCCGTGGCAGCCGCTCTCCCCTTGGCAGTGAGGTAGGACCCCGTTCCGCGGGAAGAAGAGAGCAGGCATCCCTAGCGGAAAGGGCTCCTCGCCTCTTTTCATTCTGGTGGCAGGTCTTCAGAGAACATACTTGGGCAGCCCACCACAGAGGGAAGTCTGAAGGGCAGGGTGCCCGTGGGTCGCCACATCCAAGGAGGCCAGGGAGCCGGCCTGGGCCTGCAGCTGTGTGCCCCCCACCCGTGGGCAGAAGGCCAGCCTCCCAAGCCTCTCTCTCAGACCCTCCCCCCCCATTCTGTGCTGTGCGTGGCTGCAAGGCCGTGAAAGAGTCGCCCGAGTGTGCTTGATCCTCACTCCATGCACAGATCCCTGTGTTTATGAGATGGTGGAAACCAGAGAGGGAAGGAGGCAAACGACGGTGACAGATGCCGAAGCATGGAGGGAAAGGGGCCGTCTCTGAGCAGATGGGCCAAAGCAAGGCATGTTCTTCAGCAGGCGGTTGGCAAGCGCCATCAGCGCCCCCACCCACACCCACGGTCCCTGTCCTCGACAACCTTTTCCGCTTGTGGCCTTTGATGATGGCTCCTTTACCGGCCCCTTAGATTGCTCAGGCAGGAGCACAACTATAAGAAAGCGCAGGGTCAAACTAAGCCACACCTTTGGCGCGTCATTAGAAGAGTGGCTGCCTTGAGCAATGGAAGAGGCCTGTCACAGCATGCGAGTATTTGCCTGAACGACATATTTTGCATTTGCTTCAGTGGCTGGAAAAGTCTGACGGGTGAGGGAAGTCCAATGGGGGAAGTGCAAGCAAGAAGGGTCGGGAACACGCTCTCCCCTCGAGCGTGTCATCTGACATGGTGGCCCTCTCTTTTTAGCCCATTTCTGACAGAGGTGGCCCCTCAAGGGACAAAGGACCCCTGTTTGTCACAGGACGTGCTTTTTTTCCCCTCGCCCCTGTATCTTACATTTGCAGGCTTAATCTGCAAGTTGGCCTGCTGAGGCAGGTATCTGACAAATCCTTGCGCCGAAGGAGAAATGAGTGAAATCAGGCGAATCGTAGCAGACGGGCGTTCTTGTCAACATGTCGTTTGGCCCACCTTTGGAAGGGCGATGCCTTCCTCGAGGGGTGAGGGGGCACAGGAGGGCTGAGAGGTCCTCAGGGCGGAGGGAGGGAGGGCAGGCAGGCAGCACACCGTTCAGGAGCAGAACGCCTGCGGGGCGACGCCACCGGAGAAAGAACCTCCTTCAACACCAGGACCAAAGCCTCCCGCAAACTAAGTGGCTGCCACTGGCTTGCCAACACAGCCAGGCTGCCCCCCCCCACACACTTCTAAGGGGTCTGTGGCCCCTGCCATCTCATCCTAATGCACGAGGACAGAACCGCGACCTCAGTTCTGTGCTCACAGTGACTCAACACAGATGACCATCATCCCCGCTTTCTGCTGGGAAAGGGGAGTTGGGAGGGAGGGAAGGCAGGCGGGCAGGCGGGCATTGTAAAGGTGGTGAAAATTTGCTTCGCCACCGCACCCCCTGGAGGGGCAAGTGGATGATCCTCCGCTTGCCCCTGGAGGAGCTGAAAGAGGCCCAGAGTCCTTGCACGGGAGTAGACCAGAAAGGGCAGGGAGAGACCGCGATGATAAACAGTGAGAAGGTCAAGCTGGCCCAGGATGACCTGGTAGCCGAGCCTCAAAAGATCAGGCTGTGGGATGTGTGCTCTCTCTTCCGCTCAGCACCGGGCGCCTGTTTTTAATCCAGACGGTTCACCAGGAACCTCCCTCGGGGCCTCTTGGAGCGGAAGAGCCCTCCAGCAAGCGAGGCAGCCCCCAGCCCTGGACAGCTTGTTTGTGGGGGGGGCACCATCTTCCCCTCCCACTTCGCAGGCCCCTCACCTGGCATCCCTCTTACCCCCCCCACACACACACCCTGGCCTTACCCGGTTCTTGCCCCTCTCCGCCACCTGGGCTACGGGGGGCTGAATCCCAGGTGCCATTAAATTTGTTCCTGTGCCCCCTCACCGGGAGGCAGGGAGGCCACACGTGGCCGGCAGCTCTCACTGCAAGAAGCAGCCCCGTGGCACAAGCTGTGGCCACACCCTGCCGCTGGACTGGCAAGACTAAGCAAGAGGCAGCCTGCAGGTCGTTGCCCCCCCCCCCGCAGGCCACGGGTGCCGGCTTCCAGGACGTTTCCTCCATGGGGCCAACCGAAGGGCGGGGAAGACGACAGAAATTAAGCCAAAACGCAGACGGCCACTGAACGGCAAGCCCAGAAATCCAGCCGGCCAACCTCCTTTGATCTGGATGCCTGCACTGGGTGGGGTGGGGGGGTGTTTGGACTCAGTGGCCCCTTCCAAGTTCACGATCCCCCCGTTTCCTTGAGAATGTGAGGAACAAGGCCCAGATGTCCCGGCAAGAAGCCCCGGAGGCGGCCCTTTCTTCTTCTCCTCCTCAGGAGTTTGGTCTCGGGAGTCCTCGCAGCCACCAACCGAAGGGTCCGTGAAACCTGCCTTCCTCCAATCACCGCTGCAAGAAAACTGGAACCTGTGGGGAATCCACCCGGTTGAAAGGCACCCCTCCCTCTGCCAGGCAGGGCGAAGTGGGTGCTCGCTTCCCTCACGGGAGACCCGTGGGCGGCTCTTCCAGCGCTGAGCGGTCTCCCTCGCCACCTGGGAAAACATGGCAGGCTGTCCTGTCCTGATCCGTGGAAGCCCCCCAGCCGGGCCGCTCTTGGTGTTCGGAGTGGTCGCCGCGTTGACAAAGAGGGGCAGTCTGGCCCTTGGCAGAAGCGGGCGTCGGTGGAGGAGGCCTCCTGGACCCACACGGGGAGAATGAGCTCCCCAATGTGTGCCCCTGTGCTTGCATAAGGAGCGCCCAACCATCCACAGTGCAACCGGGAGCCCACACTGGGGGTGGTGGTGGTGGTGGCGCAGCGAGTCTGTGCTCTTGCTGCCGGGGTTGGCCAGGCCACGTCCCGCCCACGCTCGCCATCCTCCGTGGAAAAGCAGGGCATGACTTTTGTCATCCTGGGGAGCCGAGTGCGGGGTCTTTGCCCCCCGATAAGGTTCCCTCGGGGACCCTGAGCATCCTCAGGGCGAAGGCAAAGCGACCGTGGTCTTCCAGGAGCGCTGCACATCACGCAGCTGCCTCAGCACCGGCCGGAGAGCAGCTGGTCCGGCACGATGCTGCCGGCTAAGGAGGCTGCTCTCGGTCCAAAGCTTCGCAGGATCAGCAGCATCGCAAAGATACGCCATAAATAAATAGGTTAAATAAATAAGACAGATCCAGGGTGGGCAGGGGAGGCCGGGCTCCAGAGACCCGCTGCCTCCTACAGACACATACGCACGCACGCACGGACGAGGAGGAGGAGGAGCTAAAGACAAAGACACATTAGTGCAGGGGAAGTCCCTCTTGGGACCCAGGTCCTCCGAGGCGTTGGCGTTGGCGGCAGCAGGGGAAGGAGCGCGGCCTGCCCTGTGCAAAGGAAGGGGACAGGGGGGCGGGGAGAGGAAGGACCGACTGACCGACCGACCAGTGGGGCCTACTCGTGAGCCAGTGCTGTGGAGGGGTTCTGTGAGCTGGAGGCGAGGGAGACGTGGGTCGTTGACGATGGCAAGGAACGAGGAGTCTGGCACCTGAGATGGCAGGAGAGGAGAGAAAAAGAAAGAGAGGAAGACAGGAGGAGGAGGAGGAGGAGGAGGAGTGCGGGGTGGCTATGTAGGTCACAAGTCTCTCTTACCCTCCCTCCCTCTCTCCTGAGAAGCCCCCCCAACACACACACCCACACACACACACACACACACACCCTCTAAGCCATTTCCACCACCAACACCGTAAGAACACAACGACTGCCAGCCAAGAGAGACTTCAGACCTGGTTGGCATGGTAGGGGGTGGGAGTGCCCCCCCTCTGCGGGCTGGAGGGGCAGCAGCTGCTGTGCTGGAAAGGCCCCAGTCCCTGCAGTATTGTCCGCCCTGATCCTGGCACCCACGTGTCACACACCCCCTCCAAATTCCTCTTTCCAGGAGTTGTCCCTGATTTGTCTCCAGCTTTTATTTACACAAACTCCCATGACGAACAGCATGGGGATTTTTGCGGCGAGTGTTACGGAGATCACGCCAAGACCATCCTTATGGAGTCTGGGTCTGCCTCCAGTCCTGGACCTTCTGCTGGTGCTCAGCTCCCGTTTCCTCTTCAGGGCTTCCGCCCAACCAGTCTCGGGACTCACGTCCCACAGCCAGTTCCTCCTTGCCTGCTCCCCTTGCCTAATGCTGCAAACGCCACACACACACCCCCAGCGGTGCTGGAACTCAGGGGATCCTGCGCACATGTGTACATGCATGTGTATGCTCTCTCTCTCTCTCTCTCTCTCTCTCTCTCTCTCTCCCACACACACGCACACGCACACACACACGTGCATATGCCCCTCCCAACACAATGACTCGCCCGCCTTCCCTCGCTCGCTCGCCCACTCCCTCCACTCACCAGGACCGCGATTTCCGCACCCGGGACGCCGCAGGCCGCTCCAGGAGGCTGTCCAGGCGCATGAGCCTCTCGAGGTGGAGGCTTCGCGGGTCCTGCTCGCTTGCGTCTCGCGTGACCTCAAACTCAAAGACGGCCGGAGGGGAGACGTCCAGCTCCAGGAATGTGATGTTCTCGGCCTGCGGTCAAGGTGGGGGAGGGAAAGCGCAAGAAAGACTAAATAATGGGGGGGGCAGAAGGGAAGGGGTTCCCTTTAGGTCTCACGCGTTTAGGAAGAGGAGCCCCCAACTGCTTTTACATTTGAAGGGAGCCCTGGTGGTCGGTAATTATTATTATTACTATTTATTATTTATTTAATTTATACCCCACCTATCTGGTCGGTGAGGACCACTCTAGGCGGCTAATGTCGCCACTCGAGTCCCTGCGGGCATTTCCAAAGGGCCAGCCGCCTTGGGCCACCCTCCAGGCGAGCACGCTTTGTTGGGCTTTCGCCGACCCTGGCGGAAGGGCAGGTTGGGACGAAGTCCTTCCTTTCTAAGGTGGCAAAGGGCTCTGGTGAACGTTTGGGGGTCAGAAAATACCTTTGCGCCTGGAGGACTTACTCTACCTCACAGCTGCAGCTCCAGGCGGACCAGCACGCAAAACTCGAACACGTCCTTCCAGGTCTGGGGCCAAGGCCCTCAACACCCCACCTCTGCATTTTGAGATTTTGCAGAGGGACCCTCCACTTTCAGGGTCAAGGTGGAGGACTAACAGGCAGGGCCTCCGTGTTGGCAGCACCCCACTTATGGAACTCCTCAGCGCATGGAGGGGTTTGCTCCCACCACTCCAGACGGATCCTCAGTGTCTGGATAAAGTGGAAATTACCTCAGGGGACCCCTGGGGAGTGGAATCTCCAAGCCGACAGATTTCTGCATGGTTTGGTTTATGCTCAGTCCTCAAAATGTCACGCAGACATTTTCAGCTCCAAAGGCTGGACAAAACCATTACAGTCAATTAAACAGCATATTGATGTTGCTCACAAATGTTGGTGGTTCCCATCATTTCCCACGAGGTGTACCATGACTTCTGCAAGCGTGTTGATGTGAGGGACCCCCTCCTCCCAGGAGAAAGGCCATTTCCCCCTCCCTCCTCCAGTGCCCACTAGCTTACCCGATACCGAGGATGGGAGCCCATCGACATGGCTAGGCGAGCATACTGGCTGATCGGCCGCTTGTAGCCCACCGCAGAGGTCGGCCGCTTCTTCATCTGGGTCCCGGTTGCGATGCTGCTGCCGCTCCTGCTGCTGAGGGCGGCAGGAAGAGGTTAGCATTCAGAAGGGAGATTGTGCGCAGATTTGCTCAGCAACTACAATGGAAGCAGCGCCTGAAAACATTATCTTCAAGGACTAAAATGCACCAGGAATCCTCCCAGCCGGGATTCTGGGGCTTTAGCCAAGAAATCAAAGTCCTCACAGGCGTTTTCATAGTATTATTTATTTATTTATTTATTGATTGATTTATTGATTTATTTATTTATTTATTTATTTATTTTTCAGTTACACGCAGGTGCGGAAAGAAGCCTATATCAGCCATTTTGTCCCTGTGAAGATACAGGCAGGAGTGGCTAAGCTCTGTGGGAGCTGCAAGGGCTTAGCAGACCGGTTGGGGAGTCTCTCTGCTCATTAGGCTCTGCACAGTTCCCCAATACCTTGTGGCTCCCATGGCACTCAGTCGCTCCCACCTGTTTCTTCTCTCTTCCTCACTGGAACATAATGGCCAACACAGACCTCATTCCCAACATGTGCATAACTGAAAACGTCTATGGGGTTTTTGATTCCTTGGCTAATAAAGCTTCCCTAATTCTGGCTGGGGGAGTTCCTGGTGAATTCCGGGATCTAAAGTTTAAGAAATGTGAAAATCCCATGCCTCCGCTGGGAATCACAGTCACTCAACATAATGGTTCCAGGCTCTCTATAAGAGCAGGATTTTAGAACGAGCTGGCCTGTGAGCTGTCGAGGAAGAGATGAATAGCCACCCTTGGTGCCTCTTCACATTTACCTCTCATGGCCTGAGGGGGGGGAGGGGGTTAAAAAGATTTTCTATATCAGCCACAACAACTCGGGAAGGCCAGGGTTTCTGGCGCATGCTGGGCAAGGTCAGAAGGAAGGCCCTTGTCCCTCAACCCACCACCCTCTCTGTCCTGGGCTTCGCCAGCTGGTGATGCAACCTCAGCAGCTGCCTGAGCTTTGCCTGGACTTTCCATAACACAAAACTCAGAGCAAGCCAAGGAAGGGAGCAGCCCCGGGACACCCATCGCTCACTGCTTTCCTGGTGGTGTCCTTTTAACCCTTGGCTATCCCCCGAGGGGTCCAACCCACGGCCTGTGCTTTCAGGCAGGGACCTGCTCAGGCTTCACGGCTGGACCTCGGAGAGGCTCTTTCTCTCAGAATCCCCCCCCCCCGTTCAGCCCCCCCTCCCCAGCCAGCCTTTTGGAGTTGTTGTCCAGGAAGGGAGCTGTTCCCAGACAGAGGGACTCAGGGACTCACCCTCCAGGCGTCAGGACCAAAGGCTGAAATTTCCACTGATCCTCCTCACAGTCAAAGTAAAGGCGGTTCATGATCTTGTTCTTCTCCTCTGGGGGGATGAAGTTTTCAATGATCAGGTACCTGATGGGATGGAAGGGAGGTGTTACTGCTGTTTGGCCTCATCCGGGCAGAGTGCGGTGGCTAGAGCTAACACTCAGCCTCCTGAGGAAAACTAATTATTTTTGAGACAGGTAGAGAGGAAATGTCTTTACTATTTAGAAAAACCAGTCAAGGACAGTGTAGGAGGAAAGGAGCATTAGCCTTAGGTAAAGGTAAAGGTTCCCCTTGACATTGAGTCCAGTCATGTCCGACTCTAGGGCGCGGTCTTCATCCCGTAGAGCCAGCGTTTGTCCGTAGACCGTTTCCATGGTCAGGTGGCCAGCGCGACTAGACACAGAACGCCGTGACCTTCCCACCGAGGTGGTCCCGATTTACAGTATCTACTCGCATTTGCATGTTTTCGAACTGCTAGGATGGCGGGAACTCGCATTTGCATGTTTTCAAACTGCTAGGATGGCGGGAGCTGCGACAAGTGACAGGAGCTCACTCCATCGCGAGGATTCGATCTTACGACGGCGGGTCTTCTGATCTTGCAGCCCAGAGGCTTTTGTGGTTTAACCAGCAGCACCACCACATTAGACTTACCTAAACTTTTGTGGTTTAACCAGCAGCGCCACCACATTAGACTTGCCTAAGGAAAACCCTAAAGGTGGCTTCTATGCTTATAAGGTCATCTCTCTAACCAAGATGGACTGAGCCATTTGTCTTGGGATGACCAGCCCTGGTGGTGGGCTGTCTGAAGGAGTGCCCTTGGCTTGTGCATTTCCTGGACAAGATAGCTGCCCCCTTGCCCCCCCCTTGCTTCCCTCTCTTGACCTCTCGAGCCACCTACTTGAGTTTCAGCTCCCGCGTCTGCTCGTTCTGCGCCTCCTCCAGGTCTTGCCTCACTCGGATGTACTCGTCGTGCTGGTCCTGGATCTCTGCCTTCACAGCCTGGAGCTTGGCGTAGAGCTGCCACCACCACAACAAAGCAAAGAGGTTGCCCGTGAAGGGAGACGGCTGCTGGCCACCCGCGGCAAAGCCCCAAAGCACGGTCCGGGGCCAGAAGAGACAGCCCCCGGAGCAAGGGTTGGATTGGACCGGCAGAGCTCCTTCCCCACGGCCGCCACAAAGGGCCTCTGTGGTTATTCCTGATCAGTCCCTGGAGACGAGGGCTCCGGGTTTTGCGTCCTGGGAGCTGCTGGACACAACTGGGGTCTGATCTGCACCCCCAAGGGCTCTGGGGGGGAGGCAAAGGATTCAGGGCACTCCAGGCGTCCCTTCAACTTGCAGGACTCTTCTGGCGGCTGGACACAGCACCCACCGGGAGAGGTGGGGGCTCAACCCGTCTGCCCTGCACAGGGTTTCCTCCCTTCTGGACATCAGCTCCCACTCAAGCCCACAGCGTCTTCCCGCCTCCACCAGACAGCCGCTGGGGCCAGGAGAATCTCAGTGGCGACCCTAACGCCGGTCAAAACCCCTCCCTGCGCCTTGCAGGGCTGCCACCTCCCCCCCCGCCCCATTCAAGGGACAGCGTTCAGGCTCGTGGGCTGTTTGGCCCCAAAGTAGTTTGTGAGCCCCAGCAACGGTCCCCGAGGAGGGCTGCGGCCGGCTTCTACCTGGTTGCTCCTTCCCAGTCCCAAAGGGTGTCCCGGGGCTCTCCTCGGGGGCTGGCAGGGGAGGGCACGCTGGGCTTACCAAATGGCTCCCCCCGGCGGCAGCAACCTCTCCGGCTCAGAGGCCTCTCCGGCAGCGAGCCATGGAGAAAATCCCAGACCGAGACCTGACGTTGCTGCCACCGCCCAGGACGGGAAACAGATGCAGGACGGACTGAACGCTGTGCTGAGCTCTGAGAAAGCCACTTCCTAGGAAAAGCTCCAGAAAGTGACTGCTCGAGCCGCCATCCCAGAGTCCCCTTGCCAAAAAGGGCTGGGGGGGAAGCTTCTCCAAGTTATGAGAAGGCGACAGGCAGGGGAAGGGAGATGGGGGAGGTTCCCCCCCCCCCGTCTGCCAAAATGTAACAGGAAAGCAATGGCGGTTCTTCTCTGGACCTCCTGCTGCCAACACAATTGGGCCTTTCCCTGCATGGTGTGTGTGTTTCTGACCAGGACCAGATGCTTGGCAACCAAGCTCTCCGGCCAGGCAGCCAAGGAGCCAAAGAGGGGCCCCATCCTCTCCCCATGGATCTCCCAAGGGCCCCTGCCCTGATGCCCTCTCCCCTTGCGCCCTTGCCGGCCGCTCACCTTTTTCAGCTTCTTGGTCTTGAGCTCCACTTCCTGCTGCAAGGAGGTGAACGTCTCCCGCAGCTCCATGGTCTCCTCGTCCCGCAGGAGCACCTGCTGCTGCATCTCCCGCTCGCGCCGCTTCTGCGGGAGAGGAAGAAGCCACACACCACCTCAGGGTGATCGCCCAGGCCCCCACGCCCATGTGAGAGAGAGAGAGAGAGAGCGCCACATGGGGAACACAGCAGGCGTGGCTGCCGAGGCTGAGGGATCACCCCGTTCCGCCCGCCCGCCCGCCTTCCCGCTCCCTTCAGGCCAGTGGTGGCCAAAGTGGTCTGCCACTTCGAGAGGGGGCGCCTGCCGTGGCCACGTCCATCCTGGGATGGTGGGCAGGGGGCAGGGGGGGGAAGGCAAGGGGCTGGCCGCCGTTCCCGGCCTCTACCTGCTCAGCGATCTCCTGCCGCTTCAGCTCCAGCATCTTCTGCTGCTCGTTGGTGTGGTCCATGATGTTCCTCCCGCCAATCAGGAGCTTGCTCTCCATCGCCTGGACAAGGGGAGGAGAAGGCAGCGGACGGACAGAGGCGGGTTGTGAGCCAAGAGGTCCGAAAGTTCCCTTCAGAAGGTCCTCCCACCCCTATCACCCCTAGATAGCCACTGAAAGATAATCCATTGGTTTTTACTCATTGCAGCGTTTGAAAGTTTACTCCACATGTCGCTTGTTGGCCTGAAACCTACCCCTGATTTACAGTTGTGTAAGGAAAACCATGTATATCTTGGTGGCAGCTTGGCACCGATCCCAGTGGGGCGGTTTGCTTCCCTAGGCATGCAACCAGCTTACTTCATGGGGCGCGCACTCACCAATGCCAAGGACACCTTGCTAACAAATGGCCGTCTCTTTTGCCAGCAGAGAGATCTGCCCCAGGTGCTTAGCCACGAGGTTGGAAACTACTTTCCCGTTAACTTTTGTCATTTAAAAAAAAATGATAAACAAGACAGGTAATGCAATTCTATTAACGCTGGTCAAAAGGATTGCAAAAATTCCCTTCCAAAGCTACTGGTAAAGGGTTAGGGAGCAGCATCGGGGTCTCGATGGAGGCAGAAGCCGACGCTCAAAGGACGAGCTCAAAGGCACCGCGAATGCCAGTCTCCTTCGGGTGAAGCCGGCCCTCCTCGCCTGCACAGCCGCTGCTGGGCCCATCCTGCCTTCCTGCCCTCCCCGAGACCCAGGAAGGCGGCAGTCACCGGAGAACCGCCCTTCTGTGCAGCTCCCAAAACCCTTTGGCATCGGCTGACAAAGCCTGCTTGGGGAGGCAGCAGGCGGGCGAGGGTGGGGGAAGTGCTTTGGAAACACACTCCTGCATTTCTCAAGGCCACCTCCCGCTGCAGATTTGGGAGAAACCGCGAGAGTAGAGGCCAGCAGGTCCTGTCGATTTTGGCCGCAAAGCTCCCAGAAACTGCCACGGAGAGGAGATCCCCGCTGGCAGGCTCCAGACTACCGTTCCATCTTACTGCCAAGCGGCTGGACTCTGGTTTAGGCTTCCCATCTTTTTAGGAAACCAAGCTCTGTGTTTTTCTCCCTGGAAATGGCTCAGCCGAACCAGGCTCCCAACCTCTCACCTGCTCAGCGGCAGGACAGACCTAGCATTGCAGCCAGACCTAGCAAGGAGGAACGGCAGTTTCAGACCTCCGGGGATCCCACCTCCCGTGAAGTCCCTTTTCTTCAGGGCAAGAAGCCTCCCAGCATTGTTGGGAGGAGGGCCCACCAGAAAAGGGGACCGGAACCGACCGACGCAGGAACCGTGGCAGCTAAGAGGCCTCTGAGGGGCAGCACCACAAGCAACAACGCTCCCTTCACCACCCGGCGCAGCCAAGGCGGCCAAGGAAGGGCTGAAATTAAAGTCAACGGGAGCTCGCCGTTGGTTTTGGGGTGTATTGGTCCAGTGGAAGACATGGCCTCCTCCTTCATTTGTGTAAAGTTGACAGGCTTATCCTTACAGGCACACACAGTGCTGCAATGGGACAGCGCTACCCAAGGAAGGTCCTGGCGTGCTTTTTTTGGGGGGTGGGGTGGGGTGGGCTTTCTACCCACGACATTTGGGGTCTTTATTATTAAGTCTGTGCCATGTTGTGAGGCGAGGGGCCCTGTCGTTCCACACGGCTCTCTTGTGCTGCCCCCTTGGGAAACAGGAACCCAGCAAAGGGAAAACAACATCTGGAAAAGTTCCTTCTGCCGAGCACAACGTCTAGACTGTCCCAGGCAGCGCGTGGCCTGAACGCTCTGCTCTCAGCATCTCTTCCAAACATCCAACTGGTGTTGGAGAATGTCCTTCCCCCTCTCCCACTGTCAACTCTGCCCCCAGCCCGCCATCCTGTTTGCTCACCTCTGCTGCCGAGCATCTCCCCCCCCCCCCAATTTCTTT